CGCTTCTCCGCGCCGGAGTTGCTGACGGTGCAGGGGTACATGGGGATGCTCTGCAGGAAGGGGACGGGGGTGCTCAGAGGACCTGCGGAAGGGAACGGGAGAGGGGGACCACGTCAGGCGCAGCATGGCAAAGCTCTGTGGTGCTCCAGCCGCCGGTCCGGACCTGCAGCGAAGCCCCAGGACCCCTGCTCCAGCCCCATGTGAGCAGAGGGTCCCCCCATCCACCCCCACAACAGCAAACTGGGCCCACAGCTGCACAGGGGTGAATTTCTGGGACCCTGCCGGCAGGTCCCAAATTCCCCACGGACTGAGGACTGGGAAGGCTCCGCAGGACTTGGTTTGCTCCCAGGCATGGGCTGGGGGCTGCAGGACCATGCTGGCCCCTGGCTGGTCCTGCCCATGAGCTGAACCCCATCTTTCCACTGCCTTTTCCTCCCCACTGTGTCACCCCAAAACACAGCTGTTTCACAAGCCAAGGGAAATGTTCAGGGGAGAGCCAGGAGCTGGCTTCATGGTGTCTCCATGCCCCCACTGACTGCAGAGGGGTTCCCAGGGATCTCTGCACCCCGACAGCTCTCCCCACCCTGTACTGGGATCCTTGGGACACCCCACTATGGATACAGGAGATGGCAATGTCCTGTGCCCCTCTCAGCACCCCTTGGGCTTCACCCACCTTCCAGCAACTTCCTGAGCTGCTTCTCCTTCTTGGCGATCTCGTTCAGGAAGAGCTTGGAGTTGAGGTGGCCAATTTTGGGTGGGGGCAGGCTGCCACCTGTACAGTTTTGGGTCCTGTTGGGGACCGCAGGCAGAGAGAAGAGGCGTGAGGGACAAAGCACACTCAGGGGAGGGTCAGGAAGCCCCCATGCTCCTTCCCAAGCACCCTCCCAGGGCTGAACCCCTTCCCCAGGGAGGCAGTGAGGAGCTGACCTTCCTCCAATGGGTTGGTTGCTTCCCAGCAGGGCCTTTCCCATCCAGCCTTGCAGTGAACGTCCTGTGCCAACGCAACACCGCATCCCTCCACATCCCCACCCCAGCTCACCCCATCCCAGCTGGTCGCATCCTGGCTGAGATGCCGGATCCCAGCTCTGCTCTTCCACAAACACACCCCAGTGTTGCCTCATGTGCAAGGGGAGGACATGATTCAGTGGCCAAGGGGGGGGATTTGTGATCCTTGCAGACACAGAGGGAAACTGAGGCACAGAGCATGCCTCTCCCAGGCCCTATAGCATCCCCACCCCTCATTGTGCTGCTGCTGCCCATGAACAGCCCCTCCTACCCCCCCAAAACACACCTGCCCTGCCATGCTTACCTGTCCATCAGGATTTTCACAGACTTGGTGTTCTATGGAGGGAAGAAGCAGTCCTGGTCAGTAAGGACAGTCCCTGCCCCAGTGACTATCTCCCCTTTTGGTGTCTCCTTCAGTGCCCATCCCTCATGAGGGCACAGGCTGCCCAAGGGTGCTGAGCCCCCTCTCCCACCGGCACTGGCTACCCCAGCCCCATCTCCAGCTGTGGCATTTCCTCCTACACGGCCGGGGCTGAGCCTGCCCTGCTCCTCCTCATCTTCCCCTGCTCAGCCCTTGGGAGGCACCAGCAAGACCCCATCAGTGTCCCCAGCCCACTCTGTAGTGCTCCCAACGCAACCAGACCTTCCCCTGACCGCCTCAACCCAAGCACGGGCAGCTCAGCTCACCTTCATGAAGTTGATGTCCTCGGTTTTGTCGAACATGACCTGCACAGAGCTGAGGAGCTTCTTGGCCTCCTGCATTCGCTCATTGAGGTGGAGGACCTGGGCCGCGTTCTCGTTGCAGAACTTGGCCTGGGCCTTGTCCAGGATCTCCATGGTCTTCCGCAAGTCCTCGTCCAAGATCTGGTGCATCTTCTCGTACTGCAGGCGCACCTCGTCCTTCAGCTGGCTCACCTTCTCCTGGGGGAGAGGAGCAGGGTCAGCCCCTCTGTGTCCTCCAACCTCCACGACCGAGGACATCCGGGTCCTTTCCCCAGCAGTGGTGGGTGCGACCAGAGCTGCACCACAGCTCTGCTCTCCTGCAGCACCCACACAGGTCAAACCCTGTGGTCAGCTGCTGTGAGGGTCTCCCATGTGCTGGAGACCCCCCAAGGTCACTGTAGAGGTTTGGCTGATCCAGCAGATCCTCTGAACCTACCTCCTGGGGTCAAGGTGAGGATCGCCTCCAGAGAGCTGATGTCAAGCACCAACCTGCTGCTCCACTGATCCCTTGAAAAACCCTGCCCATCCCCATCCTCATCCTCATGCCAGGCTGGGGTCACATCACGCTCCAGATCCCTTCCCTCCATGCTCTGGAAGGCTGATAGGCTTTAAGAACCACAGTCTTGGTTTATCTGTTTCCCAGCAAAACACTCACATCTCTTCTACCTCCTGCGTGTTTCAGTGGTTTATTTGGGGATCTCCTACCTTCAGATCCTCCCTTCCCACCTGGGATGAAGTAGGTGGCCTGCGGAAGGCTATGCTGAGCTGAGGCGGGGGGGGGAACCTGGTATTTGAGGACAGCCTCGTTCCTTGCCTCCCAACTCCCACCAGGACCCCCAGGGCTGCAGGGCAGCCCCAAACACATTTCATCTCCCAAAATTACAACTGCGAGGACAGGAACGAAGACGGCAGGTCTGGGGATGCTCTCACCTTTCCCCTGCATGTCCTCCCTCCTCTCTGCCCATGTGGCCCCTGCGCCCTGTGAGCTGGTCCCCATGGTGCCACGGGGTGACAGTCCCCAGGGTGGGCACAGCAGGGTGAAGCACCAGTTACCTCCACCAGCCGCTTGTCCGATTCCAGCTTGTAGAGCTGCTCCTCGATGTCTTGCTCCCGCTCCTCCAGGCGGTCCTGCTGCTTCATCAGCATCTTCTGCACAGACGGGAGAGAAAAGCAGCAGTCAGAGCCTGGCGGCCACACGCACTGGGGAGCTTCTGTGCTGCCCACGCCGGCTCTGCCCACGCGGTTTGGAAAGGACAGGGCTTTCTCCTAGCAGGATGAAAGCCCACATATGGCTGTGGAAGTGGAAACCTCGCTACTTCAATGGCCATGCAGAAGGACTGTGTGTGCTGGGCTGCCTTATCAGCTGGGGCCTTGATTTGGGTCCCTCAGGTGGGGGCAGCCCCTTGCCAAACCCTAGGGGGCACACAGATAGGCTCATCTTCCACTGCGGCGGCACTGTTTCCAGGCCCATCACCCACCGCTGCCAGGCTCCCGCGAGACATCGCCGCCCACCTCGCGTCCCCATACATCATGCCAAATCCTTTCACCCTTCCCCGCCTCCGTGACAAGCCCCAGAGCCAGTGTCAGTGTAATTGGGAGGGACAGAGAGAGGAGGAACGGGGCCTCCCCCGCCACGCTGCCAGCCCCCGGCCCCTGCTCCTTGGGGCTGGGCCTGGGCCATCAGCCTGGTAACTGGGACAAAACGTTGTTCCCGGCAATGGGCGCGAGTGCTCGCTCCTGCACGCTTCCCTGGCCAGCATCAAAACCACCACCCGTGAAAGAATGGCTCCCAAAACATCCCTCATCAGCTCCTAATTCTTCTCCTCTGTCGCTGTCCCAGAGGAAAGCCAACGCACTGGTGGGGCGAGGGGAAGGGCTTCGCCCATTGTGGAGATGTGGCGTTAGAGACTCAATGACAGGGACGAGATGGGGAGAAACCAGCAGCGAGGATGAATTTTGAGGGGATTATTGCTGTTATAAACCGCCGCTCAGGGATTTATAATCAAGTAATTAATTCCTGGACGAGGCAGGAGGGGGAGGGTGGCAGTGGCGCTGCTGGGATTAATTGCATTGCAGGGAAAGGCTGTCACCTCCGACTCAATTCAGG